AAAGAGAAAAAGAGAGAGAGAGAGAAAGAGAGAGAGAGAGAGAGAGAGAGAGAGAGAGAGAGAGAGATAGAGAGGGTGAGAGTCACGGAGAGGGAGAGGGTGAGCGGGAAGGCGAGAGAAGTAACTATGTTAGAAGGAATATGTGCATCCGTGCATGTGTGTGTGCCGTTTGTGCCGTACGTGCGTTTGTCTGTGCGTTTAACTGTGCGTGTGTACTGCGCATACATGTGCACATCTCCGTTTGCATTTTTCCCGCCCTCAGTCCCTCTCTCCTTTCTTTCCTCTTTCCTTCCTCCTCCCACTCCCTTCCCGGACGATTTATTGTACATTTTATTTATGTACACATAGTTTGTTACGCGTTGATGAGTACCTAAATAAACAGAAAATAAAATAAAGTATAATAAAGACGTGATCATGACGCACAGCCGCGAAGTCCGCGGTCATTGGCCCGCTTCAATGACGTCACCTAATCAAAGATGTCAGCGCCCATCAGTGGCATCTAAGTTTCAATAACAAATTGTGTGTACAACTATAAGGCAAAATGTCAATATTGACAGAATCTATTGAAATTGAGCTAGGAGGTAAAACACCAACTTGCTGGATACGATAAATTATTTGTTCTGTAACTGACGCAAGTGTGCACATTAGTACTTTACTGATTACAACGGCATAGCACCAAGTTCAGCTGAGAGTGAGAGGGTCTATGTCCCCCAGGGTACTGCCGGAACGTACCCTGGCCTGGGTACGGTCCGGTATACCGGAACGTACCCTGGTATTATCTAATATGCCGGACCGTACCTCGCCTACCCCACTAACGAGTCTAGGGAGTCGCCTACGCCTACTCCCTAACACTATAACCCTAACCCTAACCCTAAACCTAATCCTAACCCTAACCATATCAAATAGTTACCAGGGAACGTTCCGGTATACCGGACCGTACCCAGGGTACGTTCCGGCAGTAGCCTGGGGGACATAGACCCTATGAGCCCAAGGCTAAGTTGGTGATTGATAAAAAACTGCTGGTTGCTGTTACAAATGATCATTTAGTATGTCAGAGGCGTTAGAATTCTTATATCTAGCTTTACCTTGCATCGGTAACTAACGGTGCTACACATTGGCTCAGCTAGGTCTACTATATCTATACATGCATTTTCATTGCAATAACACTAATCTATCCCTAACCCTAAAGTAAACCGTTCTCCTAACTCCAGCTTAATTATATATATATGTATGTAAATTAGGGTCCTACATGTATGACTAAGTATTTGTAAAGGCATCATGATCAATTAATGCTACCAATGGTTAGCTGCTGGACACATTTAGGTCGTACGTGGCTACGCGACCGGTTCCGGATGAGGAGCCGCTAGGCTAAGCGTCCGGACATCCATCTCACACAGTGATCTTGCGACACGTACATGCATGATTGCGCAACGGGAATCCTACGAGCAAAGAAAGGTGATGACACGTTTACAGACGTACATAAACACACACTTCTCTCACACACTTCCGCTGAAGGGGTCGTTGTCGTATCAGGTACTACATATATGTACCTGAGGTACATATATGTATACATATGTACCCTAACCCTAACCCTAACCCTAACCTTAACCCGAGGTACATATATGTAGTACCTGATACGACAACTATCCCTTCAGTCACACTTCCCGCTACTGGTGACATGCAGGCACATGCTTTACTAATTGCATACGTGGTCCATCTCACATGTACCCTCATGCACAGACACGCTTGCTTGTATACACACATGCTCGCAGACACACCTACACACATGATTGCACGTACAAACAAACACACGTACAGACGTACATAAACACACACTTCTCTATACTGGTCACGTGCGTGCACATGCTTTCTTAATCACATACGAGGTCAAACCTAGATGCAAGCATAATGCTACTGACGCACAACGTCTCACATGTACTCACATGCACAGACACGCTTGAATGTACATACACATGCTCGCAGACACACCTACACACATGCATGCACGTACTAACAGACATTCACCACGCACCCGCACCCCCACGCGTATACACGCATGTACCTACATGCATGTATGTAGAAACAGACATCCACCGCACACCCGCACGCCCACGCATATGCACGCATGTGCCTACCAACGTGCATACACGCACGCATGCCTACCGGCCGCACCCAAACCCGCACTGACCTCGATACAGATCTTCTGATGCCTACTGCCGCGTTCTCCCACGTACTCGTTTGCCGTTCGTCACCATGGTAACCCACATCCCACAGGTGCCGCAGCGGAGGAGTACAATGCCTACTTCTACTCGCTCGTGTCTCAGGACACGCAGGAGATGCATTTCAGCCAGAAGAGACAGCGGTTTCTCGTCAACCAGGGGTACAGCTACAAGGTGATCACCAAGCTGGCGGGGATGGATGAGGTAGGTACAGCGCGTGCTAGGCCATAATAAAAATATTGTTTGTTTGCCTTCACCCGATCGACCCCGCCAAAAAGGGGCCGATTCAAATTATTTTATTGATTTTTTAACAAATTGTATCACTGTACATTATATAAATATGTAGGCAATGCATTATATGTACCAAGCAAAACAAACATTCAGCATAAAAGGTATCTCTACACAAGCACACCCGAGCATGTATACACCATACTGAATTCGTAAAAAGGCCCCCTCCCTCAAAAAAAGCCGACCTACCTACCCAAACTTTTCAGCCTGGGTTGGGTGAGGGCAAACAAAGATTTTTTTAATTGTGGCCCTATCTCTCTGGCTTGTGCAGCCTGCTAACCGCTCAGTGCACGGTCGCAGGGGCTTCTCATGCGATTGCTTTGTTCGTAGGAATTTGGCTTCCTTTTTGCTTCCTCCTCCTTGGCAAAATGGACTGTTATGTTTCGTCTGACGACAGCGACATTTGATTTTTGTTATGACTCGGTCTTGCCTAGGAAGATGAAGTTTAGTTATAAAGGCACTAATAGACTATGCTAGTAGACTAGTGAGCTATAGACAATTATATTTTTCTTCTATAGCACACTCCATGCTCACGGTCGTGCTCGTGATATAACCGTCTTTGTAACTGGATGGGTAAATGGCTCGAGGTGCGACAAATCGCAAATTGAACTTATTCCACGCAATTAAGCCTGTCCCCACAGTTGTTCGCACGATAAAGTCTGCGCTCCATTTCTTCACACGATAAAGTCTGCGCCCCATTTCTTCACACGATAAAGTCTGCGCCCCATTTCTTCACACGATAAAGTCTGCGCCCCATTTCTTCACACGATAAAGTCTGCGCCCCATTTCTTCACACGATAACGTCTGCGCCCCATTTGCTGCAGAGATTTATTTGCACTGCCATTGCTGATCTAGAGCATAAGCATTGTCGTCTGTGACTTCAGGAGGACCTCGCGTTTGCGACGAAGGAGGAGCAGACTCAGATGCTGCAGAAGGTGCTGGCTGCTTCGGAGACGGACGCCGAGGAGGAGCGCATGATGGGAGAAGGCAGAGACTTCAGTGGCAGTAGGCAGGTGAGAAGCACGGACGTGATGAGGTGAACTAACCTCCCTAACAAGCGTGTAGCCAGGGGGGGTCCTGGGGGCCCTAGGACCCCCCCAATCAAAATCAAAATCCAAAAAAATTTTTTTTCTTTGTTTAGAGCTGCAGAAGAAATAGTATTGTCAACAAAACAGCGTCTAAATTGATTTTAAAGCACTATTTTTACATTTAAGTAAAAACAAATTTTTAGACCACCGGTGACCCCTTTGTTACTCGCTCGAGGACCCCCCCAATCCAAATTCCTGGCTACGCCCTTGCTGCCTAAGCGCAATTCTCAACAATTGAACGATGGCGCATGGGATAGTATTTCCTCACGAAAAGCGCACGTGCGAACATACAGATTTGCTAGTACGATCAAAAAGTGTGAACGTCATGTGAAACTAGCGCTCGTAGGGTCTATGTCCTCCTGACCTCTGTTTGACCTGGCTCGTTTAGCTATTTCTGATTAACCCTAACCCTAACCCTATATATATTATCAGGAGCGTATAATGACAAATATAATGAGCGTATTTGTCATTATACGCTCCTG